AAGAAAGCTGATGGTGCCCGGCTATCAAAAGATATAGTGTCTGGGTCTTAAAGGCTTGAAGACAGACATGTGGCCATCTAGCTGAGAAGCAGCAAAGTCCACATGGAAGAAGCAGATCACATCAAAGACCCAGAACAAAAAAACATATCAATGTTAATGAGGGGGAATGCAGAGTGGAGACCCAAAGCCCATCTGTAGACAATTGAACATCCCCTCACAGAAGGGTGACAAGGAAGAGACAAGCCAATCAGGGTGCAGAAAGCACCGATGAAACATACAACTTTCCTTTAGTTCTTTAATGCTTCCTCTCCCACCACTGCCCTTCCTACCCTCCCTCCCCCTACTATCATGATCCCAATTCTATCTTACAAATCCGGCTAGACCAGAGCATGAACATGGGTACAGATAAGAGCTGAACACACAGGGAATCCAGGACAGATCAATCCCTCAGGAACAATAATGAGAGTAGCCATACCAGGAGGGGAAGGGGAAGGTGGAAGGAGAAAGGGGGAACCTATCACAATGATGTACATACAATCCCTCCCTAGGGGATAGACAACAGGAAAGTGGGTGAAGGGACACATCGGTCAGTGTAAGACATGAAAAAAATATATAAATTATCAAGGTGAGGGGTCGGGAAGAGAGGGGGCAAAAATGAGGAGCTGATACCATGGGTTCAAGTAGAAAGAAAATGTTTTCAGAATGATGATGGCAAAAAACGTACAAATGTGCTTGACACATGGATGGATGGATGGATTGTGATAAGAACTGTATGAAAAAAATTTTTAATTAAAAAAATTTTTTTAAAAAGAGCTGTATGAGCCCCCAATAAAATGATTTTTTTTTAAAAAGTGCTTTGGAAATGGTGATGGCAACATATATACAAATGTGCTTGATACAACTAGTGTATGGAATGTTATAAGAGCTGTAAGAGCCCCCCATAAAATGATGTATTAAATTTTTTAATAATTTAATTAATTAATTTTTATAAAAAGAACTACCCACAGACAATTAAGTGGATCAAAGCAACATTAAGATTAGAAATGAACCACAGCAGGCAGTGAATGTATGCAATTAGGGGGCATTTCAGAAAAGCAGGGGAAGGTTGCACGACTCCCAGAATGAATCAGTGTCACTTAATGGCACATGTTCTAACTTAGATTGGTGTGTGTTTTACTGTGCATATTCTCAACAAAAACACGCTAAATGAAATTAAAACAATAACAACAAAAACAATCATAGATAGCCTTGGGAAAAATGGGAATTCCAAAGCACTTCATTGTGCTCATTCAAAACTCATACATGTGTCAAGAGGCAGTTGTGTGAACAGAGCAAGGGATGGTCTAAAAATCAGGAAAGATGTGTGTCAGGGTTGTATCTTCTCACCATACTTACTCAATCTGAATTCTTAGCAAATCATCAGAGAATCTGGATTATATGAAGAAAGTGTGGCATCAAAATTGCAGGAAGGCTTATTAGCAACCTGCAATAGGCACAGGACCTTGCTTGCTAAAAGTGAGCAGGATTTGACGCTGATGAAAATCAAGGCTTGCAGCCTTCAGTATGGCTTGCAACTCAATTTTTAAAAAGCCAATGGTCTTCCCCACTGGACCAATAAGTAGTATGATAAATGGAGAAAAGATTGCAGTTGTCAAGGATTTCATCTTGCTTGGATCCACAATCAACGCTCATGGAAGCACCAGTCAAGAGATCAAAATGATGCATTGCATTGGGTAAATCTACTGCGCAAGACCTCTTTAAAGTCTTGTTGAAAAACAAGGGTGTTACTTTGAGGACGAAGGTGTGCCTGACCCAAGTCACGGTACTTTCAACTGTCTCATATACATGTGAAAGTTGGACATTGAATAAGGAAGAGTGAAGAAGAACTGGTGTGTTTGAATTGTGATGCTGGGGAAGAATACTGAAAATACCATGAACTGCCAAAGAACAAACAAGTCTGTCTTGAAAGAAGTCAGCCAGAATGCCCCTTAGAAGCAAGGATGGCTAGACTTTGTCTCTCGTACTTTGGACGTGTTGCCAGGAGAGATCAGTCGCTGGAAAAGGACATCATGGTAAAGGAGAGGGGCCGTGAAAAAGAGCAAGACTGTCAACAAGATGGGCCGACACAGTGGCTCCAACAATGGGCTCAGACATAGGAACAAGTGTGAGGATGGCCCAGAACGAAGCGGTATGTGGTGCTGTCGTACAAAGTATTGCTATGAATCAGAACCAACCCTATGGCACTTCACAACAGTGAGGAGTTCTATAACGTAGCTGACCTCTGAACATAGCACTTGCCAAAATATTTTCTTGTACTGCTTCCTCATTTATATATATATTATTTATTCAGTGCCCCAGCACTGTTGTAATCTTTAATAAAAAACAAGAGGTTGGGGTTTGCAATATTTTACTGCTTCTCAGACCTACCTCATAAACCAGAGGATGCACATTCTTCTGCGCAGGTTGGGAGTGCGAAACAAGTCACACACAGAAGCTTTGGTCTGAGCCGTATCCAACTCCTCCCGCATGGTGAATCTCAAAACCTTGAGTAACAACAAGAAAAACAAACATTTATCCATTGCCACAAAAGAGGCACTCTGCGGGGGAATGGGGCAGGGGTTGGCACGCACTATGCACCCAGCAGAAATGTATATTCTGTTTCAAGGAGCTTTGGTCTAGTTCAAGTGTAATCATTAAGCAAGCGATACAATTGTGAATAGTGTTACAAAAGAAATTGTAAGGTGCCCTCGATTCGGTTGTGAGCCATAGGATCCCTACGCACAGCAGAATGAAACACTGCCCAGGCTCGCACCATCCTCCTAATTGCTCCTATGCCTGAACCCATTGTTGCAACCGCTGTGTCAATCCATCCCATCGAGGGCCTCCCTCTTTCCTCAGCCCTTCTACTTGACCAAGCAGGATGTCCTTCTCCAGGGACTGGTCTCTCCTGACAACACGTCCAAAGCATGTAAGATGAAGTCTCACCATCCTTGCCTCTCAGGAGCGCTCTGACTGTACTTCTTCCAGGACAGTTTTGTGTGTTCTTTTGGTAATTGAAGTAGAGATTTATAAAAGGCATGATTATTTTAATCCACGGGGCTATGGTTGTTGTTGGGTTTTAGCAAGTTCATTCCAACGCATAACTCAGTCGTACACCATCCTCACAAGTGCCAAGTCCTTTGTTGCAGTCACCATATCAATCCATCTCGTTGAGGGTCTTCCTCTTTTGCTTGGACCCCCGCCCCTAATTCACCAAGCACCATGTCCTTCCCTAGGGCCTAGTCCCTCCTTGCAATGCAGTGGATTCTTTGAGGTGGACCTTCTAGTCATAGTCTTCCTCACGCCCACCAAATGACTTTTGTCTTCCTGATATGTTGAGGGAAGAGGTGGAGAAAGAGACTGATGGGATTCTATGATTCAGCTGTGAGTGATGGTTAAAAGGGTTAATTTTTAGTGCCGTTCCTGATGGATGTAAGATGAGCCATTTCAGACGCAGGAAAAACGAGGTTTCCCTATCGGCAAGAGAAAAGAGGAATGGCGTGCATCCTTTGGATCCCCAAGATCCCTGGACATTTTACCCCCATGGTCCAGGACACAGCTTTGACACCAGAGGAGTAGCAAGAGCAGATGAGGCGCCAGAGCAAGAGAGAGCGGTGGACGTTCCAGCCCACAGAACCTGTACAGCTGAGGGCTTTGGGGGATGGAGCGCCTCGGGGTACTGAATTGTGGGAGTTGAGTTGCTGACCCACAAAACTGGAGTGCCTGCAGGTTGACACAGCAGAGTGGCCTCCCTTGCAGGCATTTATTGGCAGCCCTAAAGGAGCTCGCCTGTGGGCACAAAAGAGAAGAAATTGTCCTGACTGGGAAACTCTATTCCTGAATATTTCTTACCTGAATTGTAACCTGTGAACTTCCCTGATAACCCCTTCAGTGTGAGCATTATGTGGCCATTTCCATGAACGCCGGAAACTCAGCCACACAAGTAGGGTGCTGTGGGAGAGGGACAGTGGTGTTAGGATCCAGGTAAAAGGGTTGGAAAATGGAGGCACTTCTGACCTCAGCCTCATGGAAAGGGGCCTGGGGCAGATGATGCAAATGCTGCTAATTCTTCTCAGCCCTGCTCCACACACACCCCACCCCACCCCCACCACCCGTACACATACTGTGTAGATAAAGGAGGTCAGAGGTCACTCCTCGTGTCACCTTCCTTTGTCCATTTCTAATAACCAGTCCAAAGCTGTGAAGTCTGACCGTCTTTGATTTTAAGGCGTGTAGTTCTTCCCTGACAGATTGTTTCTTCTTCCAGCAGTCAGCGGTACAGTCAATATTCTTTGCCAACATCATTCAAATGCATCCGTTCTTCTTCAAGCTTCTGGATTCAATGCCCAGCTTTGCGTGCATCGGAGGCCATCAGAAACCTCACAGCTTGAGGCAAACACACTGTAACCCTCACAGTGACACTTTCCCCCTCTTTTTTTTCTTTTAATCATTTTATGGGAGGCTCATACAACTCATCACAATCCATCCATCCATCCATTGTGTCAAGCACATTTGTACATTCGGTGCCCTCATTATTCTCAAAACGTTTGCTCTCCACTTAAGCCCTTGGCATCAGCTCCACTTTCACACTTAAAAGAGATCTTTTGTCGGAGATTGACCCACGCCCAAATACTGTTTGATTGCCTGACTGCTGTTTCCATTCGCTTTGATTGTGGAGCCACGGAAAACGGAGTCCTTGAGACGTGGGTCTTTTCTCTCGTTATCATGGTATTGCTTATTGGTCCACTTGTGCGGATCTTTGTTTGCTTTACATTCAAGTGAAACCCATGCCTCTGGTCGCAGTCTTTGATTTTCATTGCTTTTCATCAGTGAATGTTTCCAGTGACTTTCAACAAGCAAGATTGTATCACCTGCATCTCACAGGTCACTAATAAGCCTTCATTCAATCCTGATGCCAGGTACTTCTTCATATACTCTTAGATTATGTACTCAGCATACAGGATGAATAAGGACGGTGACACACCTTTCCTGATTTTAAACCGTTCAGTGTCCCCTTGTTCGACTGCAGTGCCTCATTCTATGCACAGGTTCGTCCTGAGCACAATTAAGCATTCTGGAATACCCATCATTTGGAATATTATCCAAAATCTTTCTGTTCTACACAGTTGTATGCCTTTGCCTAGTCCATAAAACCCATACAAGGAAACATGTCTTGGGTAGTCTCTGCTGTAGGTCAACATCCAGCTAGATCACTGGTTTCACATCCTCTTCAGACTCCAGCTTGAATTTCTCTAAGCTCCCTGTTGATGTACCGCTTCTACCATTGAATTATCGTCAGCGAATGTATTAGTCTGGGTACTTTGGAGAAACAAATCCACGGCGACTCACATATAAAAGAGAGTTTTATGTAAAGAAAAGGTGCATCACAAAAACATCCCAACCCAATGCTGCCCAAGCCCACAAGTCCAACATTA